TCCCTTATATTATCCTGAGTATAAAAATAAGAGAATATATTTTCATCCACATTATTGTATTATAAAAATAATTCATATTCAGATCCGGGACTCAAACCATGGTCAGCCATGTGGGTAGTCTAGTGTCTCAACCACCATGCCACCTGCCAGGTCCTACCCATTACTTCTTGAAGGGCACTATGTTAATACTGTTTTGTAATCTACTTTTTAATTTATATGCCCTGGACACCTTTTTAGTTAATGTAAATAATGCATACTCAGTCGGGCTTGTCTAGCTCTTTTGCCTTGTTATCAGCAGTCCCTCAGTTGTTAATCTATTGCGGCATTATAAATAGTTCCATATACATCTTGACTCACTCACTGATCACTTGTTAGCATAAATTTCTAGGTGCGAACTTGCCAGGGTCATATTTAAAGCTTTGATTTCATAGTGCTAAAGGATCCTCCAGAAAGATGATGCCAAGGACCATTCGCTGTACAGTGGTTTGAGGGCACCTGCTCTGCAGACACCTCCCGCCACCCTGGCCTCATGCCCATTTCCTTTTTTCTTCTTTTCTTTTTCTGTCAATTCTAGAACCATTGCTCTGTTTCTTGGTTTTTTTTAAAGGTTTTTGTTATAAGGTGTGTGCACTTGGTAGAGACAGAAAGGGACAGTGAGAGAGAAAGTGAACAATCACCCCCACAGGGAACGGCCATGCTGCGATCCCTTCTCCTCCACTCTCCGCGTGGGATTTTGGGCTTGCACACACGTGTCAGGCGTGATTTTCAAGCTGCCAGGTCCAGGACTCCAACTGCTCTTCTCCATATAGGAGTCTAGCACCTTAACTACTAAGCCACCTGCTGGCTCCAGCTCTCCTTTTTTTAAAAAAAAGTTTGTTCATCTCTTCTATGAGGTGGGCAGAGAGAAAAAGAGAAGGAAACACTCCCAGCAGGGTAGCCACACTACCAGGCTAGGTCTCTGGCATGTGTGCACACAGAGCGTGCTGTGGCCCTGGGAGGTGAACTCGGGACCTTCCGTGTCTAGTCTCACTGCCGCTGTGTCGCCACCCATCCCGACCTACTGTTTTTAACTACTGATTTTAGAGAAGGCGTCATTCTCTGGCAGGGCAAAGCACTTTCCTCAAGTTGCTTTTTTATTTTATTTTTTTTAAACTGCTGTTAATCTCACATTGTTTTAAATGACTTTTTAGCATTTTTCAAATTTCTAGGAGGAATCCCTTTGAGATTTCCTGTGGCCTGACATTAAAAACCATAGGTTAATTTAGTGAAATGTACCTCTTCCATGAGAATTTCAGGTCTTCTTATCCCTGAACATAACTCATCTCTCCGTCTGTGGAGTTCTTTCACACCCCAGTGAAGTGTGTGCCCCCGGCCAGTGCTGGCACATCTGCTCTTGCTCACTGGTACCTTCGAGAGCTGTAGAGACTTTCCCTTGTTTACAGCTCTGATTGCATCCCCTGAAGTTTGGGTTATAGTGTTTATATTCTCATTTTCAAAGAACCCTGGGTGCAATCTGATCTTTTACTCAATATTTGAGAATACGTATCATCTTTTTTGTTTTATTTTTCTTGTCCTTTGTCATTAATTTCTTGCTTAATTTTGTTGCCTCCTGAGAACGATGCTAAGAAGAATTAGATCTTCCTTCTAACGTTCTGGCTTCGGGACCGTCTCGTTCTTGTGGCGCCAGGAGGTTTCCCCTGCTCCCTGATGCACTGCCACATTCTCTCAAGCTGACTTCCCATCGGTGCCCCAAGTTGCCAGCGTGCTGTTCTCCCACGCAGCAGCTGGAGAGCTGGTGGCGGGCTGCCCGTGCTGCCCACGCCGTGTGTCTCGGCGGGTTTCTCTGTGACACCCACTGCCAGCCCTCAGCACGCTGAGCTTGGCGGGTGTCTCGGCTTCGTGGTTCCTACCCAGCCTACAGCTTCCAAGCAGGCTTCTGTTCTGGGAATTCGTTAAATCGTGGCCTTCTCTTGGCTCTAATTTGAGCACTTTTTACAGAATTTTTAATTTCAAATTTAGAGTGTATTTAACTTTTCCAACACAAGCGCAAATTAGATTTCTCTTTTTTGCTTTTTTTTTTTTTTAAT